CTACTCAGAGCTTGTACTGATGATTTATTTTTTTAAAAGGCTATTGCAAAGTATTTCTGAGGCAATAAAAAGCTATAAATGGAAGAAGAGCAGGAAGAGGTACACATGTGTGGTTTTTTCTGAGTTTTTCAATTAAGTGGACTATGCCTCTGAGGCAGTCAAAACCAAATGATGGAGGAAAAAGGAAAGGAAAGTGCGGAGCAGACATAATTCCTTAATGTTACTTTGCTGTATCCTATGTAGAGAAAGTAATGTGCTGCTTATATACATCTAATTTATAGTGTTGATCTCCTGATATAACATGATTCCTTTCGATCACCAAGTTCTTCATACATGCCCTCCTATGGAGGCTGCAACCAATGAGTAGCTTGTGCTGAAACACCAGCACGCTGGAAGATTTTAGTTATGACCACTTGCAGTTTGAGCAGCCTGGCCTGCAGAGACTCGGTTCCCTTTCTTCCTTCTTTAAGCTTTTTCTTTCACGCAAGGGTAACTAAACCTGTAGGTCAAGTGCAGCTCACATGCTACAGCTTATGCTGCAACCAACAGTTAGACTCTATTATAACGTGGAGGCTGCTTGATAATGCACTTGTGAGAGAAAACCAGCTTGCTAGGGCTTGTGAGGTTTCCTCACAAGCTTGTGAATTATTGTGAGATTTGGTTGCCAACAGAACCCCATTTTTTAGTGATCCTGAGGACCTGTGCGATGCTCATGCCATCTCCCATTAGTAAATTTGCTTCTGAGCTCTCCCCTTTATCTTACTGGGACAGAAAGGGTGGTCGCTGCTGTTCTTTCATCTATTGCTATACATAAGATCCATAATTACAAGCTCTCAGTCAGAATTATTCACCATACTAAGGATCCAGAAGGAAAAAAATCTGTAACATGAAACGTTTGCAATTCTGTCTTTTTTATTTCAAATATATTTGTGTAACGGTAAATAGTGCAAGTTGTTTCAAGTTTTGTTCATTGCCTTCTTCTATCAAGAATTTGACATTTGAGCTGTAGGCGGTGTGATTCTCAGTATGGTCCAGTATTAGCAGGAACATTAAAATGTGCCTTGAAACACGTCATAGCACTGTAACGTTGCAATCATGTGCAAAAATATACTTGAAAAGATAATGGTGTGTTTTCTAAGGATATTTTCTAAGAAACACAACTTGACAGGTCTCTCTTTGCCTCTGTTTTGAAAGCTGGTATACTGTTTCAAGTACCTAATACCACATCTCTGGGTGGTAATTTGCTTTATAAAATGTCCAATGTTTGTTTTTATGTGCAGTAAGATCAAACTTCTAAGATATGTAGGCACCTCTGCCCCTTTTTGGCAGTACCTTTAACATTTTAGAGGGCCTGTCTTCTGCTATATTTTTTTTTTATGCCAAAACCATTTTATGTATGTGTTTATTGTCATCATAGCACTTCACTTGGTAGTTCTGGCAATAACACACGGCACCGCTTTATTTTAATACAGAGCAGTCCACTTCAGAAAGTTTACGATAAAATACGAGGTTTAAGGCAACAAAAAGATACTGGTAGACGGAGCAGCACAATAATACTGTGCCATCATTAGCCTAAGCCAAACTTGTGCTGCTGATTAGCAGGTGTCCTCGGGATTCTGTGAGATAGGGAAGTATTCGTATGTTTTGTTGAGGGCTAAGGTAGAAAGGGGGGATCACTGGGTAAGTCCATCCTGAACAGTCAGCAGTGAAATAGAAGCATTGTGCTATCAGGGCAAGTCATGCTGCTCTTAAGTGTTACAAAGTGATAATGTAGCCTTAACTCCAAAGATGTGCCAAGAACAAAGAAAGCCAGAGAGTTCTTTTAATCTTTTCAAAAAAACTGGGGCGTAGGCTTGCACAAGCCAGTGGCCTTATGTTTCATCTTTCAGCTGTTCCTTTACGTGCAGCTGTTCCTTTACAATAGAGATTCACACTAAAAGCAACTTCGGTAGTTAAAATCTGGCTCAGTTTTACACACACAATAACCCCCTCGGGTTAAATTTTGTCAATTCATGAAGCGGACAAGCTCAAGGGAGCTATGTATAGGGGATTCTTCAGTAGATGGCACTCTTCCCTCTGCTGAGGGATTTGATACAATAACGGCAACTTCCTTTATAGTCTGCAGGAATTGCAATGAATACCAATAAAGCTCTGCCCAGCTATGCAATAAAGTAACCCCTGATGGTTTTTCACAAATCTGGAGCTCTCAAGTCCTGGTGTCTGGCTTCCTCCCCGTTTAGATCATGATAGTCTATTTCTGTTCGGTCTGCATTCCTTCTGAAATCTTAGTGGTGAATATTCTTTGTTTTTTAAAAAAGAGCTTAGTAGTAGTTACATAAGTTACACGCATCAGAATTTGGGTGTAGAACTATTCCGCTTGTTCAGCCATTTTGCTCTGGTTCATGACTGTATGTCACTATTCTGTCAATGACAGATCCAGTTTAAGAACTTACTTGACAACCTCTGGTTTGTTGATTTCTGTTGTTGTTGTTATTTTGAAATGACAAAATTTCATAGATCCAATTTAAAAAGCAGTCACACTGAACTAGTTTAAGTGAGGAGGCAGCATCAGGTAAGTGGGCAATAAAGACCTGCCCAGCATTAGGGGACCATCACCTCTTAAATCAGATCTGCTTGATACATAGCCATGGCTTTACAGCTTTATAAAGGGTACATTGTTTTCCTCACCCCGGAATAGGAGGATGAGAGACAAGAGTGAATATAAATTTGTGTAAGACAAAAAGTTGCAAGAAAAAAAGAGTGAGGCAAATTGATAAAATGCAAAATATAAAGAGATAACTTGGTTCATATTTTTAAAGTTTTAGATTCTTGAGTCATATAGATATATTAGTTCAATTCACTGCTTTTCAAGCACTCCTTCAAGTCTCTTCTTTTTATTGGACTAGGACACTTTTCTCCATCCACGCCTCTCTCCTACACTCCAAAAATCCCTTAGCCACTCATTGAAATCAGAGAGCTACCAATATTTCTAAAATCCGGAGCCTGCAGCTATCGTATATTCGTCTTCTTCATTTGAACGGGAAGCATTGGTGCCATAGTTCAAATAAAGCGGTCGGCCCCTCATTTTCCCAATATTAATGTTAGAGTCTGAGTTTTTTGACCTGTTAGAATGAAGAGGCCCTAGGTGATGTGTGAAAGAGGAATATGAAGAGTATTTGTATACATGCCTACAGTGCCAGTAAACTTCTGAGCAGTAGAAAATTATGCTCTATTGAGAACTATTTAGAGGGCTTCCTAACACAAGAACTGATTCAAGCAGTGGCGTTCTACGTGAGGGAAATAACAGCTGAATTTAGTGACAAATAAATGTATTCTTAGATTTTTCTTTCTTAATTCAAAACAAAACAGACTGGCTCCCCATGCATAAGGAATTGGGCTCTAGAGCAGTGCTTTCTGTCCTCTCAGGAGAAACTACACAGCTAAAATGCTGGACCAATATGCTACAAACATGGCATAAAGGAATCACCCACACCTTCACCTCTATATCCATTCAGTCCTGTAGCTCTCTGTTGAAAGAGCAACAATTACACTATTCATCTATTATTTGGCAAATAGATTAAAACTTTCAAATGCATTTCATGCAGAATTCCAAACAGTCTTCACACAGTAAGGTTAATAATTGGGAACCTCTTACTTTTGTTCATGGCTGAATGGAGGTGTGTTAGACAGGCTCTTTTTAATACTTTATAAAGGAACTGATTTTTTTACATTTCTCTGGCGGGGAGAGGAGGGGATGTAAGGTGTGAGGCTTATTTTGTTTGTAACATGTTCTTCAAAAGAATAAAAGCAAAATGATTCAACACTATTATGATTTTGCTAATTTTTTCCCTTATTCTTCTCAAGGCTTGAGCTGTTGTTTTGTTCAATCAGATAAAGAAAAAAAATCTAGGTCATGAAACTGATCAAAAACATTGGGTTTATGATTAACATCTATAAGTTTACGGCAGCGACTGTGAATTCAGAGGAGGCATGAAGACCCACAGATCAGCCCTCTAAACTTACTTTCAAACAGTGATTTCAAATCGAAGAACAATTTCCTGACTGAGTCACCAGGATAGGTACTGGGATACCAGAGTTTTATGCCTATAGGCATACTGTAGGCTAATTTTCAGGTCTGGTGAGTTCCTTTAACTCATGTTAATTTCAAAGGGAGTTCCAAGAGCTCAGCACCTCTGCAATTTGTTTTTAAACCATTGTGTGAATGTCTACCTTAGAGAAACTTTGGAAAGCTGTCTTAATGTTTGTAACATATTTTTAAATTCTTAGTAAGAATGTTATAGAAATGTAGCCGTTGCTAATGAGTATCTCTTAATTTGAAACAGGCCTGTTTTTTTCTCATCCCAGTTCACATCGGTTGAGAAATTGTTCAAGTTACCTTAGAAAGATCTTACAACAATTAAACTTTTACAGTTCTCTAGCCAGGAAAGAGTAAGTAATAGAAGGGGCATTTGATGGGTTGCAAGGAACCTACCACTTCATTGCTATTAGGATGGAAGTTAAAGCATGGAAGTTCATGAGCAAAAGGTGAAGGCCAAGTGGTGGCAGAAGTAGAACCTAGCAATCACACAGGTTCCCTGTAGCTTATAAGTTCCCTGCTGAATGGGTCCAGAAGACATGATGAGAAAATAGACTTATGTTAGCCTAGCTTTTGGTAATTTTAAGAAGCAGGACAGAGACCAGAACTCAGTGGACTTGCAAAGTTGGTCAAGGAAGCAGCCAGAAAAATCAAAGCCTTGGTTCCTTGTAAAGGTTAGTGTGTGGGGGAGAGATCTCACACCTGTTGGGTTATGGGGGGATAGACGGCTCTGCCTGCACTGCTTGGTTTTCATATTTAGGAAACTTACACCGTGTGTAAGTAAGAGAAGAAATAGCCAGCCAGACCTGTGAGATTTGGGTGGGCATCAGTGTTTGGAGACGTGGGCAAAACAAAAGGCTGGATTTTCAAACGTGATTTATTTAGAAGCTTAAGGTGCTTTAAAGTATAGTGAGACCTTTGCTCATCAGTCTTTTATGGATTTGGAAACATTCAACCAAAAAGTACAGTTGACTTTAAAACTTATCAGTAAACACCAAATGCAATAGTTAGCATAAATCCAAATCAAATCCTTGAATAAAGTGATAATAAAATAATTATAAAGTGTTAATAAAAGTGATCAGCACTCAGCAGGCCAGACTGGTTTCCTAATGAAGGTGATCTTGAATCAAACCAAATTTTACTAGAAACCTCAAGAACATTACAAATATCACCACATACTACATTAATTAGAGCAAGGTCATGTGTAAAACTGTTCAACCAAAGGTGGCTGCAGACATCAAGTTGGTGAATTATGCAAAAGGATGGACAAAAGGAAAGCTGCTCTTTTTCCTTTAGTTTTCTTTTTCAGCATGAAGACCTGTAGGTGATTTTTTACAAGCAGAGTTGCAATGTCTTCCCATTGTTAACTTATCCAACCCAGTCTGTGGGATTTGCTTGACTGGAAGAAAATGTAATTCTAAATTCATTTGACCACTTGTTTTTTTTTTCCAGTTTTCCATTCTTGCTTATTACAAAGTTTCACTTGACTGAGTTATGAGCTGCTTGCCCAGACTGGGCCTTTGTTCTGGCCTACACTCCAGAAGAAACTGGAAAAACCTGTTTACGTAATCCTTTTTTTTTTTTTTTTTAAATCTTCCTCTCTCATTGGCAGCTGCAGCTTGTATGCATGTAGACAAGGTGGTGCCTACCTTTCATGTACAAGGTTGTCTTACAAAAACTGAAGTTGCTTTCTTCACTGTCGTAGAGCTTTTCTAGGCTCCTGAAGGCTTTGGCAGATGCTCTAGGAGTTAAACTTTTTTTGTTCTCCATGGGATGAGCTAAAGTCGTCACTTTACTTTTCTTCAAGCAAAGGGAGGGTGTTTGAGTGTGGCTCTGATCCAGCCTTTTGAATAATATTTTGTAGACTCCACACAGGAGCTCTGCAGAAACCGCTCCTGTTCTGCAATGTTTTTGGAGACAGAAAGCTTGTCTTTTTTACAGCAGCTGCACAGGCTGTAGCGTTAAACAAGATCTTTCACACAGGACAAACACTGAGGCAGCAAATTAGTGCAAAACGTGGAGAAGTTGGGAAGAAATTTTTCTTTCCCTCTCCTCCCTTTTTCCATCGCTTTGTGCTGTTGTTGTGACAAAAATGGGTCAACTGTGTGGACGATGCCTGCAGCTGCTGCAGGATTTTGTGGCCGTGGTTCAGAGGACATCCACAGAGCTGCTGCATGGCATTAAGGAGTGCTTAATTCTGATAAGCAACTGCTCTTGCCTAAAACAAAACACCTCTAAAGGCAGGCAGCTGTACAAGCCCATCCTGCAGCCTCACGAGAGGGTGACAGCACAAGAGTTTCTGCAGCACATCGAAACAGGTAAAAGAGCTTGTCTTTTTTTAAGGGTTTGGGAAAGGGTAAGGAGATTCTTCTTGCTGGTTGAACTCCTCTGGCATGGCAGCTTGGTGATGCAGTAAAAGATAGAGCTACAGAGCATTTTATTTCTGTGTATGGGACACCAAGGGTTCAAACAGCATAACACTTGGATCTAGGTAGAAATGGTCAGTCACTTTCTGCTGTGCCTTCAGCGCTAATATATAAATCATGTGTCATAAAAATAAGTCCCTGTAGTACCTGAAGTTAATTTGGGGAGGAGAAGGATCAAATCTTTTCTTTGTCTCCTAGACTCAGTCACTGAAATGACACAGTGAGGCTGAGCCTTCACTGGGCTTCAATAGGCTATGCCTTCACTGGGTGCTACAGGAGCCCAGATCTGCGAGCAGACATCACAGCGCAGTCCTGGGTGACTTCTGCACCCCCATGTTGCTGGAAGTTGTGTGGAGGATGTCCATGCTGTACATGGTCAAATTTCACTGGTCTCCCAGGACCTTCTCAGATCTAAGCATCTAGTCTGCATAAGCCCTTTTGTGCAAACGCTTTAGGTGGAAGACTTGAACACGATCAAGGGCCTATGCTTGAATCAATGTAGATCCATATCTCTTTGAAGAGCTTCTCTGCTTTATAGGTAAACTCCCTAATTCCATTGTTTATCTATCTATGGCGTCCTCTCTATCCCATCCTAGGATACAACAGCATTAATAGGAAAACTTTTTTTTCATTCTTGCAATCACAGAATGTCTTATTGAATCAGTGCAATTTGTCAGTTGGCACTTTCAGTGAAAATCTGACCTAAAATCATTCTTGGGCTCAAGCTTTTTTTTTTTTTTTTGTGGTAGAGGAGGCTGTTTGCTTGTTTGTTTTAGCTTTGTCTCTCGACTAATTGCTTAAGTTGCTTTAAGCTTATCAATGTTGGGCCAAAGCTACTAACAGAAAATTGCAGACCTTTCTACTTTCTTTTCTATGAAGGCTGCAGTTCATCCCTGGTGTGACACAGTAACATTGTTTGAAATGATCTGTCATGGAACAACCTTCAGGTTAATTGTTGTGATGCTGATCATTTGGAATATGCATGCATTAGCCACAGCTAATGCTAGTATTAACTGGTGTCATTACTCTGTGAATGTGGGGGAGGGGGTGGGTCAGGGGGATGCTGTTTATATGGTCCACTAATTGTTGAACATTAAGCATTGGCTAAATCCTGAAGTCCATATTCAGAATAGGACTAGACCTTTCAGCTTTGTGTACAGTGGAGATCTTCCAGGGCTGAATATTTTCTTCCGAAGGCTACCATGCTTCTGACTGTATAAGACACAGTCTCAGCAGTATCCCAGCTCAGTTGACAGATTAGATGCAAGGAAGCAGTGGTCTGGAAGAAATGGTGAGGCCAGTATGGTCCTTTGCAGCACCCACTGGTGCTTTCCAGAAAGTGTAAGTATATGTTTCCTTGAGAAATGCCTTCCCCTCTGCGACAGGTCTTCAAAGAGCTGGTCCACCTTGCTCCTAAGGAGCTAGGACACAGCAGCAGGGAGGCTGGAGCTGGTGTGACAGCACAGCACAAATGGCAGCGTGTGCTCTCAGGAAGGTCCCAACATCCATGATAGTAGATACATGGAACCCAGGAAGAAGAACCAAAGCGAACCAAGCCGCTTCCCTCTTCCTTTAATACATGTATTTTATTCCAAAATGGGGAAGCCAATCCTCCTTTCTGGGCAAATTACGTCCTTATAATAATCAGGGAGCTAATATTTGGACAGAGTTTGGATACAAGACAAGACTTCATGCTTGGCCATCATACTCAGTTGTTAGCTACAGCAGCATATGCTTGGTATTATAAGTAGGTGAAGATTCTGAGCGGCTTCTTTTTCATCATTCGCCCAACCAGAAATGCACAGAGATGTAAGAGATTCAGCTAGTCAGTGTATAAGCAATGGAATTAAACTACATGAAGAGATTATTGTTTTTACTCTAAAAGCCCACACACTGGCTAGTCCGTCCTTTTGTGTTTATTGCTAATTATTAACCAAAATTGATCTTTATATGAATCAGTCCTTCTGTGAAACTCGCTTACCTAAACCCGAAGGTTGGCGTTTGTTATTCTTGACATGTCAACAGCCTCCAATGGCTTAAGTGGAGTTTCATACTGAGGCAGGAAGGTTTACACTGCTCACATACTCTTTTTCCCATGGGAGGTAAAGTGGCTAGTTCCTGTTGTTCATAGAGACATTTGAATATTTAATGTACTGCATTAATCTCTTGTCTATAAATACATCTTGTACCTGTGTACTCCATCAACCCGTTCAAACTACATTACCTTTTCAATAGTTTATACTATTGAGCATTGATTTGATGGCCCTTTTTCCGTCTCTGCTGCTCCGTTCCACGCATTGTAAGTGCATACTACAGTGGCGTAAAGAAGGCATGCATGACTGCTTTTGCTGTATTCTTGACAGCTGCTGCAGAACATCTGTTTTATTCTTAGGGGAAGTCTCATACTGAAGAACAGGCAGAATTATGTTGGGAATTTGAACCTGAGGCAAGCCCATTTGCAGTCCACGTTGCTGTTCTCTAAAATACTTTAATGCTGTAATGCTAAGGATAGGAAACATAGCAAAAATAAAATGCAACAAATTAAAGACGTAAACTTTGCCTACAGTTCGTAGCTAAGAAAGCCATTTTCACAAGACATATTCTAACAAAGAACTTCTGTGATTCAAAAAAAAGATGAAAAGATTTAGGGAGAAAAAGAACACCTACATTTATACTGGATAGCATAAACGCGTCTAAAGGTTATAATTTATCTTGCTTCCAATCACTAGCTGCATGAACTTCATAAGAGGCATTGCCAAGGACAGGTTATTCCAGGTTGATTTATTACTAGTGCTCCTGAAAACACGAATAGGGATAGATGGGTTCTATGGAGCTGCTGCAGTACAAAAATCCTTATGTATTTGTTTGGCTGCCTATGTAGGTGCCTACAAATATGTAATTCTTTTTTTTTAACCAAACTTTTTCAGATTTAACTGATCCTGTGCTGTCATTCTATATTTTTAGGTTTTGAAATGTCACCGCTTGGAAAGGACCCCCTGGAAGCCTTGAGGACTTTAGCCTTTTCAGACAACCCAGGGTTACAGCAGTCTGCAGCTCTCTACTATTTGCATATGAGTCAGCACAGTAAGTTTCCTCAGTACATTAGGAAATTTTCACATGATTAAAACTAAAAGTTTTTTTTTCAACTGTGAAACTCCCGAATGTATCAAAGTTTTTTTTTTTGCTTTCATGTTATATTTTCTCCTAAGGAAAATGGAAATGGTGTCAGCGCCATGTGGGCAGAGTCATTCTGGGTTTTGTTATGAGGAGATAATCTCTCACAATTATAAAAGGCTGTCATTTATGTACTTGTAATACTTCTGAAAAAATTGGGCACAATCCCTTTGAGAGTCTATGTATTACTGAATCTCCTGAAAGCAACACCGTCAAAAGTATGGTGCAAGGAAATGGACGTAGTGCTCTTTTAAGGTTTTACACTGTATAGGTTTTAGAAGAAAACAAAGCCTCAGAGGTCAGATCGTAGTGCAGGCTCATGAAGGATATATTCCTCTAATGTACCAAATATTCCACGGGAGCACTTGGCTCCTGAGGTAACTTGTACTCCGATAGAGGAAGTCAGCCTGCGTATGTCAAATAATAAGATTCCAGCAGGAGTTTGGGTCCTACAAGAAGGTAGAAATATCAGCAAAAGTCAGGCTGTGATTTATTTATTTGCTTTTTTAAATTTTACTTAAGGAGAACATTCAGGCGTTTGGCTTGATAGCTTTATCCCATAGATTTTTTGCAGCTAAAAAGTGCAGGCAGCCACAATATGAGGACCTGTTATGGGGTAGAATGACTTGTTTGGTAGCTTAGTATGTTGTTTCCCATTCCACAGTGTTTTTAAAGTATTTGATTATTCAAAATGTTTGCAGGGAACTTGCCCTGCTCTGCTAGTAGCAAAGGAATTTAAATGAAGGGGAATACCACTAAGCCTGTGTTTGGGAGCGCCTGAGGCCTAACACATTATGAGAGATTAATGTCAGAGACTACAAAGAATGATGGGATGCCTGAATATTTCCCCTCATTGCTGCAGTGAACGTCCCCCTGCCTGTGGAGCACCTGGAACCCTTCTATGCCTTACTGCGGTCTGGTGACCTGGAGGTGCAACAGATGTCGTCCTTGTCCCTTGTCAACTTTTTGCTGGAAGGAAACAGTGAGTAGCTAACAACACAGCTCTGTTCTGGTGAAAAGGTCTCTCTTCAGCCAGACCCAGTGCATAAGGAGGACACATCTACTTAGCCAAGTCTATACAGATCCAAATTCCTTTGCTCATACTATAGGTTGGACAGGTGTGCATCTATTTCTGTCTGCAAACCACACACATTCCGGATGGCATATGAGGTCACCTCAACCTACCTTATATCATGCGGCAAGAGAACCCAGATCCATCTGCAAAGGCTGATCAGTTATTTCCAGACTGATGTGGGAATAACTATGCTGTTCTCATTCTTGGATCGAAAGCCCACCACTTACCCTTTCAACAACAGAGACAGCTCTCAGAAACAAACTCTGCCTGTGAGAGAGGGCTCATTTTTCTGTTATTTATTAACTGACCTTTGGTCTTAGGCTGCTTGCAGATTAAGAAAAACAGTCAGATAAAGCAAGTTGACAGACAGGGCATCAATGAACCACACCTACTCAATGGAGTATTTAGCGCATCTACTACCACGCTCCCTGGCACCGGGGCCACAACTGGTATTCTGTCACACTGTCCCATACCAGTGGAGGACAGAATCCGTCTTTAATGAAGCTAGCTTTTTTCTTTCCCTTTTTTAAAGGATCCTGCTGCAAATAGCGTCATTCACTCTTTAAAAATCAAAAATAATTTTTAGGAGTCTACTTTCAAAACGAAAGGGGAGCCTAAGTAAATTTTGAACCTAGTTGAACTGCAGTTTCCAGATTGAATCTTATGTCTAAAACCAGAATTGCTGGCAGAAATATTTGGGAACTCCTGAACTAGACACTCTGAGCATCTCTTATACCCTTCCAAGAGTCTGAAGGTGAATCAAGCAAACCAAGCTAGGGATTTGTGGGTGCATTTCAGACTATTCCCACGTGAGGTCCATTTTGTGTAATGATGGTATAGACTCCAAAGCAGCCAAAGGAAGGCATATTCTTTGCACGAAGGCATTAACAATTTACTTTTTGTTTGTCCTTTTTTCCCTTGAATTTATGAATAGTTGACAAAGAACTGATTGTCCAAATGGGTTTACTTGAGCCAATTCTGGAGCTGCTTGAGTCAGGGGATCCCACTGTCCAGTGTAATTCCTGTGCCTGCACCATGACTTTGGCCATCTCAGGTGAGTGTGCTGTTCCTTCCCTTTTTCCTCTGAAGAGAATTCATTCAACTCTTATGTCATATTTCAAGGCAAACAACCCATTTACAATTGGTTTGGAGGAGTCATAAGATTCAGCAGCAAATTTCAGTATTCCTCTGTCATAAATTCAACTGCTTGAGATTCCAGGTAAGATCTTCTTCTTGCTGTTTCTGACATTCATTATCTAATGATTACAAACCTTTTTCTAATTTCTAGCCTAAATATATTCATGACTAGCTTGTTGTAAGTAGTGTCTATAGTGGCTTTTGCTTCAATAGTTCTACCTCTCTAATGTCTACACTGACGAGGCCACTTCATTTTATTACGCTGAGAAAGCCAAGCTCTTTTATACTCCTCTTGTAAGGCAGGCTCTCTGTTCATCTTCATAGCCCTTCTAGGTGTAAATTATTGGCTACAGAAATGGAAAATGGCAGTTTCATCTGCTGCTTTGTGATACCACAGACCTCAAACATTGTAACAGAACAGAGATGTGTATAAATGATGCAAGAGTTCCATTTTCAGTTCATCTCCTCTGAAAGACAGGTGACCAGAAGCGTGCAGTATTCCAGCTGGGGTCTCACTTAGGTCTTTTATTGTCACATTCCAGGGACATAAGTTGTGTGACACATCATATGATAACATTTGCTTTTTTGTGATTGCATCATGGTAGTGATGTCATGCAGCTGATCTAGATGCCTCTGTCTTTAACGTGAGTATAAGGAAGCCACTCCAGATCCAATCCACCTTTGTTCTCTATTGAGGGTAGTCACCTAATGCTGTTATACAGGGCTGTTGGTGCCAGTGCACTTCCAAGCTCAAGTAGTTAAAATTAAGCATCCAAGCAGCCTTCAAACTAGGTAGGGATTCATGCAAGGGGGGTCCTGCAAAGGGGTAGGCTGGGGTGGTGACTGGGATTAGATCAGTTTTGAGAACCTTTGTCCCAATTTAGCTGGGATTTAGATGGCTAAAGGTAACTAAAATTCTAAATCCGAGAACGGTAATGTACCTTAGCTCTGCTGCATTAAGTGTCCAAGACTGTGCAGAGTGAAGCTGTTTAGCAATGATGTGACTGAAAACTACTTGTGAACTGGGGTGTCTGGCTACCAGCTGTAATACGTAGCGAAGAACAAAACCAGCACACAAGCCTAACTAAACGTTCGCAGCAAGACTTTAGGGAAGGCTAAACACCTGCATTAAGCTAAACAAAGTGGATGCACTGAGTACAGAGCCAGGCATAAAAGCAATAACACACACTGAAGCTAGATTTGATTTTGGTGTCTATACTAACAATTGCTCATAGACATTCAGAATTGTGTCAGTTATTTTTCAAATGTACAAATGGCAGAGAGTGGAAAGAAAGAATGTATAAATGCAGGTTTCAAGATGAACTATTTAAACCCAGCTTGAGCAGATGCTATTGATTTTCCCACGTTAGAGGGGTATCTGAGTATGTGACCCCCTTCTAAAAGCACTCTAAGGGGGATCAGATCAGCAGTTGCAGTGGCATCTGTGAAGCATTATTTAGATAAACAGGTGGTCCAGAGCAGAAACAAAAACATGATGTAGTCTGTCTTATCTCTTATGGAGACTGTAATGCAATTGCACATCTTGATGAGGTAGGTATCTCCATCCATTCTGTCATAAATTTATAGAAAAGATAAAGTGTTCAGTCACAATATCGGACTGAAACTAGAATGCGAATGGAGAGAAGGACAAGGAAAAATGATTTATATAAAAAAAAAAACCTGGCAAGCCCGCAACGCTCTAACAAAGCTCTGACGAAGACCACAGAGCAGAACTGGCGAGCTAGTGAATGACCCAAGGGAAAAGAAGAAAAGATGGGGTTTTCCTGCTCATGGAGGTTTCCATCACACGGGTATTTCTTGTGGTCCATCCATCTTCCCGCCACGATACCCACTGCTCCGATCAATCCCACAGGAGAAGGGGTGTCGAGGTGTCTGCGGGCCACCTCCCTCCTGGGTGAGCAGCATGTCTGAGCCTGGCCCAACTGCTGCAGGCTCCCCGTGCTGAGCAGCAGTGCTGAGCCCTCAGGCAGAAAAACTGCTTCAGCTCTCACAGCTGTGAAGCCTTTTCAAATCAAGTCAGTTGTGTTTTTTAAAGGAAGAAAAACCTTCGAAGTGTACAAGGACTCGATACTCTGTCACTGGCAGTGCTTCCTTAGGAAGATCATCAGATTGGAAATGTGTCCTTGGGAACCTCTCTCACAAAAGTATATAGGATCCTCCTTCCTTGCCCTAGAAGGAGAGAGAGAATTAAAAAAAAAAATCCTAAATTATGTCTGGACATGTTTGTAATCACGTTGTCCAAACACGGGCTTCTCTTCCACATGTATAAACAGTAATGGAGAGTATTGTGTGAAAGAATGAAGGAAGCAGCAATATCTGAATTCTTAATCTTTTTGCCTTTCTCCTTTACTCACCTAATTAGAGTTTACATCAGACTAGACTGGTTTCCATCAGATAGAACCGCACAAAGTATTTCTGGTGCTGCTGAGGGAAACACAAGAACAATATACAGGCAGATTATACTGGAGAAAGGCTTGTCTACAAAATTAACTGGAAAATTTCACCAGGGTAATAGTTTCCCACATGCAAAAGCTATTTTCAGATACATGATTTTCCCTAGAACAATTATTTTGCTCACAAAATGAGAATATTTGTTTCCAAAATAAAGGGTATTTCCTTGAGTATAAAATGTTCACATGCAGGCACAAAGGGATTTATTCCAGAATACCAAACTCATACGGGCTGAACTATACCTGAGTAGCTATCCTGGGTTACCTATATTTTCATACATAGTCAGTCAGTTTTCCAGTCCAGTTAGGCTCCAGGTATAGAAATAATGTTTTTGTTGTCTTAACTCTCTAAGGTAATTAGCACCTAAAGAGCTGATCTCATCCAAAAACCTACTCATTTCTTGCTTTCTGCTACTTCTTATTTCTCTCAGCAAGCTTTTAGAGACTGGCCACTGTTTAAACCATCTAGAAATGTATGTAAATGAAACAATACTCAAAATTGCAGTGGACTTCAATGGCTGTTTTGCTCAAATAAATAATGAAAGACGTAGAATGTGGACGTTGCTTTTTCCTTTTATGAAAAGTCTGCAGAATACTGTGATATAAGAGAAAGTGATTTTTTATAAAGACCTTTCAGAAAAGGTCATAAAAGAAGAACACTGTCAATACCTTATTTATTCAAAAAAGCTTTGCCTTGCTTATAATGTGGCTACTATTGCTCTGCAGGGATCCTGTAAGTTGAATCATTTTTTCCCTTTTAAAAGTCTTTACAGAGTTGCTGGTCCCTGGGGTTTTTGAATATGCAAAATATTTAGTTACACAGAACTGCAAACTCTCTCCAGGACAGAGAGACTATTCTTTTGCTGGCCAATACTAAGCAAGTTAAAGAGCAGTTTCTCTTCTAATTTTCTTACTTTTTTCCTTTGAATTTAATTTGTTTTACTCTATCTACTTTCAGATAGCCAGCATCTCTAATTTCACCATTCTATGGCTTAGGCTTCTGGATTAAGGTAGTGGCCAGAGTCCAAGTCATGAATCTGGAACCGACCTCATTAAGTGCTGTATAAGGACTGATAAAAATAGATAGTCCTGGCCCAAATCAACTTATAAATTAAAAAAAGAGATAAGGTAAAATAAACGTGAGAGGACCACAGTCTCATTCGGAAGGATGGCCAGCCATTTGCATGATGGCAAATTTTTGCCAAAGTTTCTTGTAAATGTTTTGTTGGCTTCAAGGTAAGGGGGTAGGGAAGATCGTAAAGGAAGGATTTTCTTTTATATAAGGGTAAGCTGAGGCTACCTTAGCTAAGTCCAAAACTAAACGCAGATTTTTTTCTAAATTATATTTGTTAAAGTTTTTAGTATTATACTTTATAGCATAGCCTAATATTACTATACCCAGTATATAGGCTGTATGCACAGTATATAAGTAAGTTTTATAGTATTTTATAGTATACACTAGGTTATAGCATTATTTAAGCACTATAGCTAATTCTCTTTTTAAGATTTTCATCCAAGAGTCTCAAAGGATTCTGCAGATCTTTTTGAACATCTGCTTGTACATTAGGATGTTGAATACAACCCTACAAATTAACATACTGCGATGCAGGGAAGCATCACTACTTCAGAGAAGAAGCACCTTCTCAAATTCCAGTGGTTAAGCCAACGTCTGTTTTTAGAAACCTGTATGTTGCTTGTAGCTGTGATTGGGGTGTCAGAGGTACGTTCAGTGACAAAAATTGGCCCACTGAATATACCCTGCTAAATTAATTCAGTCTTATCTGCAATTAATCATTATCATAATAAATATGATAATATAATATAATCAATTATGTAAATTGTTATCTAATTTTTTGTTAGCTTGTTGTCAATAGGTTGGTCGGACATACTAGAGGTACAAGGCATGGATGGCACTTACTAACCTGTTTAAGGGGGGGTTACCTCCTTTTATCTTAATCATCCCATCCACAAAACAAAAGCAGGCTATGATCTTATGCTAGAGCCAGCTATGATCTATGGCCAGTCCACAGGTCATGAATTAGTTTGTTCCTTTTTGAGGTCCTGGAACTTTTTAACGGTTTCCTTTGGGCTCAGGGAGAAATTTGGGTATGTATGTACTGAAAAAATCAGAAAAGTAAACTCCAAAGAAATCTAGTTTTATAAGTCCTGCTCCTAACTCACAGTAAGAGGATACTGTATGGCAATGTCTCATTTCTTTCTTACCCTAATATTTTGCCCAGAGTCCAACCGGGAGGCTATTGCTGCTGCTCAAGGAGTTACACCCCTGCTGACTCTTGCCAATTCCTATGATCCTAGAGTCCAACAAAATGCAGTTGGTGCTATTCTCAACCTCACACAATCAGGTACTTTTCTGACATGCTTTATCTGAAATTGCTGAAAGAAAAATTGCGGCTAGAAAAACAGATAATTCAAAAGTGCTCAGGCAAGACTTAAAGCGTATCTGAGCAACAAGTGCTTTCCTTTGCACATGGCATTCATGGTACCATAGGCTGATGATTTTAGTTTGGCTTCTCTTTAGCCAATACAGATCCATTTTTTCTCTGTCCCCGAATAGGAAGGCTTGATTTTCAACCTCAGGGAGCTAATGTGCAAGCAATTAAGTCATCAGTCAAAGAAAGAGAAAAAAAATTTTTTGTTTTAAACATCTTGGTCTAAAAAGCTAGCAGTGCATCTGGAGGTACTTTGAAGCAATCTCAGAAGCTTGTCTCACAACGCTGAGCTCTTTGAATGTTTGACTTGTATCCCTAACTTGATGTTATAAGATGCCGATTACAATAACTATTATGTATCTGATGTTGTTTCCATTAAAGGCTCCTGGGATGTGTGCTCTCAGCTCAGCAAAAGCAATATTTGGTCCTCTGCAATAATATTTATATTACCAGACATTAACTCTGAAACAGAAGCCAACCAATCCCACCCATCTAGATGATACTGTTATCCCACGCAGCTAGATGATACCGCTGTGAATGATGTCTTTTATCACTAACTGGTAGTGGGGAATGGTTGGCAAGATCTTTTATAGTCGTCTATTACACTTCTGCTATTATTCAGCATTAAGACATTTTCTTTTTTTTAACACAGAAACCGTGGTGAATATCATACCTGAGGTTTTTCAGATTCTCCAGCAATTCAGATTCTCTGAACAATCTTTAGCAGACAACCAGCAAGGGCTAAATCAATTAGATAGCTTGCTAGTCATTTTGCTAAAACGACTGCATACAAGTAGCTGGCACAAACTCTAAATTCTATACTCTGCAGTCGCACTTATTGGAATATTTCTGGACGGATAGCATCACTCTCTAGACTCTATAATGTTTGCACGTATCCCTTTTGAGTGTTTCCTTCAGATGAGAGGAAGGGAAGAGGCAGGACACACTAACAGCGCTTTTTTTTAAATGGCAGAGAAGATCCAACAGGTCCTATGCAAAGAAGGTGCCCTCCCAGTTCTCACTTTGCTGCTGGAGTCTCCTGACTCAGAAGTGCAGGTATGGTTCAAGCAGGTCAGATTTTTAAATAATAGCAGTGTGACTGGCAAAAGCACAAATCACAGAATTTAGAAAAGAAAGGGTAGGGAGGAGGGAAGGTTTCTCTAGAGAAGTAACGGGAGGAATTAAAGGACTTGTCTTTTTCTTATTTGTTTTTTGCTACGGGAAGCCAGCATGTGACAGTGTCTTGGTGAAATTCTGCTTGGTCAGATAAGCTATATCCAAGATACTCAATTTGTTTAGTTCCACCAAGTTTATAACTGAGAAATGCATCTGCCAGCACACACTCATGCGTGTGCACATACACACACACAGTTGTTTTGCGGTTTCCTTTCTATATCCTTCATATCATCAGACCAGGTGCAGATAGGCCTGTTCCTCTGTACTTTTGCATCCTAAATTTCATCTTCTCCTCTAAGCAATTTTCTTAAGTGCTTTTGGAAGGCACAGCTTGCAAAGATTTGTTCTTCTTGTTGTAAGCATCTGGGATATCTTCCTATATTCTGCCTACCACAGATACTATATAGAAGCTGTCTGTGATTCTGCACACTTAGCAGAGAGATGGTTTCTAGTTTAAAAGTATGCTGATGAAAAACTATGAATCACAGTTGTAAACCTTAAAATCTGCTAGGTCATTTAGTCAGCCTTCTGGCTAGCACAGGAGTGTTTCCTCCATTGTTTTATTTATCTTTATTCAGTTCTGCTTTAAATGTCTGAAGTGATGGAGTCTCTGGAATTGCTTTCTGCAAAGTCTTTCAGCATCATCAGCTTTCCCTGATTGTCATCTTAAAATTTCCTTCTTCACAGTTCAGCCTGTTTCTTCTAATTATAACTTCTCTAGTAATACATACTCTCATATATATAGTCCTCCCTGGTGTTAATGTTTAAATCCTTTGAAAATGATCTCTTGGCATGCTGGGAGAGTGACTACATCCGATTTCAGCAGAGCAATTTAAACATGTAATACAGCACATGTAAATGAGCTAACTTAGGTGCCAGCAATAGTGAAGGGGCAGCAGCACAGTAAATTCCCAAGTACCCAGGGTCCTGATGGGCTTGTGCAACCCGCACTGCCACAACACTGCTGCTATTGTAGCAACAGTAGGTTGTTTTTCCTAAAGGAAGCCCACTCAGGCTGTTATCATGTCTAGCTAATAAAACACTCTGAAGATGAAAAAGCGCTTTATTTTCGTCGACTCTAAATCTGCACATTTCTCGAGTTTGTTTTTTTCTGCTGTTCAGAATGTCATCACTGTAACTTCCTCTCTCTCGCTCTCTCCACTTTTTTCTTGGTTCGCCCCAGTATTACAGCTGTACTGCTTTGAGCAACGTGGCAGCCAATGCGCAGCACCACCCAGCCATGCTGAGAACAGGCGACAGATACCTGCTGCGGGTGCTCGTCTCGCTCCTGTCGTCTTCTGTGGACAAGGTAAAGTAAAGAGAGGAAGGGAGGAAGCAGATTTGCTGATAGCAAGACATGCACCTACATTAGCCTTTTTGTTCAGATCAGGAGGGCACTTTTGAAGCAACCCTCCCCGCCATCGCTACTTGCTGAGTTTGGTTTGCCTCATAAAGTAGCCTCAGGGCATCCAGCCCAGCTGGTCTGAAGTAAATCACCACAAAATACCAACTGGCATGGGCTTCAGGTCCTCACATCTAGCCCTTCTGTTCTGCACATCTGATCCTAGCATGCTGCACTGTTTGCTAATGTACGCATGGCCCATACTCATTATTTTCCTGATGTTTCTTTTTCGTGAGTGTTGATGTGCCTCAGAACTATCATTCAGTTGGCTCTGCCCAGGCTCCCACCATCTTAGATCCCTGTGTGTGTGATAGCAAGTGTCTGGAGCACTTATTATGCTACTTTTTGTTTGTTTTTTTGGGTGTGCATAGCATATCCATGGCTTCAAAGGATAACCTCTAAAAAATATGGTTTTATTGAGAGGCATGCACTGAAGAAACTTCAGTAAGCCACAGTTCAGGATTTAAAGGGTGGAACCTTCAAATTCTGTGTGGCAGGGAGGGAAAAAAAAAAGCACAAAGTAAATTAGATAAGTTCAGTCCCTTCATTTACCTATGATTTATTTGACATTGCTAAAATAAGCCAACATCTGAACCGTATTGGCTCTTTCTCACCAGCAACAGGATGATTGATGCCAGAACAAGTTGAAAAAGATTCATTTGACAAAAGAATCATGTCCCAGAATTCATGCTCTGAAGATACTGGTGTTGTAACATTTATTTTGAGTAGAATAGCCAAGAATGCACATTACTGAAACTACTCTTTTTCTCTCTCTCTCTTTGGCACAAGCAGGTTTCCAGCCAGGCATGTGTTTGCCTAAGAAATTTGGCCACTAGCGGTAAGTAGTATCTTGGAGATAAACAAGCCACATCTAATTCTTTTTCTTCCTTTCCCTCTCTGCCTTTCAGAGTGAGTGCTGTGGGCTGGGAACCTTTCATATTAAGAGCAAAGAGATATCCTCTTTTCTACAGTTTAATGACATGTGAATAGAAGAGGAAGATTTAGTGCATATACTAACTAATCCTGCCTCAGAGCTCCCAGGTAATGAGGGGAAGTACCTGAACCAAGTGACAGAGACAGCATAGGTCTTCCTACGCACAGAGCCTTTGCAACCGTATTAAGTTTTACTCGCTTCCATGGTCCCTAAGCATTAAACCTGATTAGGACAGAATGTCTCCTGAAATTGCTTCTCAGGTGGGGGCCTGTCTCCTCCTGAGGCATAAATCTGTCTGTCATTAAATATATTTTTTTATAAGCACTTGTCATGCTATTAAAAAAATATATCCTATCCTATTAAATGGCCAGTTACATTTCTATGGCATACTCTGAAGATGGCAGCAGCGGAGGGCCACACTCCACACTAGAGCCCTTGGGCCCGGAAAAGAATTGTCCATCTAGAAAAAGTAGAGAGGCTTCATTTCCAGGCAATCACAGTTATAGTGGAGCTGGGAGTAAAGGAACAGCTGCTTTGCTCTTTGGAGTGGTTGGAAATCCCAGGTCTGTCTAGGTGGTTGCCTTTTAGGACTGCCACTCCATCTGCTGGCTGCTCTGGCACTGCCTCTAGTGCCAGCAAGCACTTGCTGAAGTTTCAAGGATAGAAGAACAGGACAAACTGGTCTCTCTCTGGCTAACCACAACCCTCTGTGAGATACCTGGTGCTTGAGGACACCTTTCTGTCTGTGCAGCAGAAACTGCCACCTTCTCACCAGACTTTAGGCCAAGGAAGCACTCAGCAAATTCTCCTCATTTCTTCTCAACAAGGTGCAGACATGAACTGAAGGATGCCCAAAGCTATGTTTTGCTCTCAAGCCTATGTTAATCCTTTGGCAGAGGGAGATAGAACAAATGAGGCTTTAGGCTTTTTTTTTTTTGTAACCAAATATGCAGTTTTGTCCCATCCCACAGAGTTCAGGAGGTCACTTCTAATAACGTCACAGAGGTGCAGTCAAATGCTCATAAGCCCAGAGCCTGCATGCCTCCTAACGATGCTCTGAAGTACACTGAACTTGGTCATTTTTCCAAACCAGCGGATACTCAGGTTGAGATCGTTGCTCACAACGTCCTGCCCAAGCTGCTTTCCCTCCTGGCATCTGGCAATAAGGACGTCCGGCGCGCCGCCATCGCACTGCTCTGGATACTGTCCCAGCACCCACGCAACCAGGTAGGGCAGGTGATTTTCCAAGACCAGAGGCAAAAGAGTAGTTCTGGCCACTGCCTGGGTAATCCTTCATTATCGCAAAACTGTAAAGAAAATGTGTCTCCTGAAAGACTGATAGACTGCAAAACTCCCCTGCCTTTCTCCAACCCACCCAACAAGGCCTCAATTAAAAGGTCAGGTTTTGCCTATTGCACCTGCATTAGCATAACCTACCTGATGAGTCCATCTGTTGGGGCGAGCAGGACCCAAAGGGCGCCACAGTTAATCAGGTGAAACAAGGGGCCAGTAGAGGGGGAGAGGGGCGTCATATTCCTCGGACGCAACCCCGCGCTCCCTGCAGCTCCTCTGCGGTTCCCTCGTTCCTCAGGCTGCTGAGCTCCAGGTGGGTGTACGAGTGGCAGGACAGACGTCAAGCATTGTGAGACACAGAAGTCACGGGGGCCACTGAGGATGTTATTCCTTGGCTGCGGGGCTTCCCCACACGCTGAAAAGCAAAGAGAAACTGATTTACAGTGTGCAGTCAAAGTGCGTCAGTGCAAAGTCAAGTGCAAAATCACATCATTTTCCAACGTGCACAATTATTTGCAAGTACATTTACATAAATTTAACGTCTTTTGCATTAGGATTAAGACAGCAAGCAGGGCTAATACAATTTAAATTCATATCTATCGATAATCAATTCACTTGAACTTTCCTGTGTGCCCTCATGTAAGAAGAGTTCTTTTGCCCATCTGGGTTCAGGGTAAATGCTACCATTAGCAGCATAACACTCTGCAAATACACAAAGAGGTCTGACTAGAAATAAACAACCACAAGTAAACAAAACAGAATATCCCTGCTGTACTTGCATCCTTCACGTAAAACAGCAAGTGATGAGCGACGTACCACTTGTTTCTTAAATAAGCTTTTCCATTACTGTAATTAAAGGCATCCTTAGGAACATGGGCTTGAAATGTTTTCTGATGAGTATTTTAAGCTAACACTAACCTTTCAGGAGAGTTAGAATTTGGGCAGCTAAAGCAAACACAGCTCGCTCTCAACAAGCTTACAATTGAAATACATGAAGTTAGTTTGGGGCTATCCGCACAGTAAAACGTTACTCAATATGAGGCATATACTGCAACATTGTCCTCGCTGATGTTTTTCTTTTCTTGCCCCAAAACACCATTTACACTTTTCATCCTCTCAACAAAAAGCACCTCGCAACTCCTTTTCTCCCTGATCCTGAGATGTGTCTTCACTAGTGCTGCAAAGCTCCGCTATGCAAAAGGCATGGCTCAGGGTCAGCCCGGCCAGGCAAAAGACCCAGGAGCTCAGACTCATATCAGCAGTGAAACAGCCTTCACGGAGGGAAAGGGTCAGCAGCAGGTGTCTGGAAAACAAAGCATTACCCTCAGGGGTTTGTTCACCACTGAGAAGTACCTGCATCTCAAAATTTGCTTTAGCAAGCAAACGCGGCTGTCCCTGACCGCTGAAGGTTGCTGCGTGGCGAGATGTGCCCTGGGCACACCGAGGAGAGGCTGACCTCTCCCGCCTCGCATCCCGTCTTGCCACCTCCACGCTTTTTCTGGGCTTTTCACATCGTTTCAAGGTCCCTTTCTCTAACCCAGGCTGAATGCTGAGTGAGGCAAAGCAGGGCTTCTCCATGGGAACAGCTGGTGGAAAACAAACCTCCGAACAAAGCCAACCTTTACAACCAAGTCAAGTGATGCTTGAATTATTGCAAATACCGCCAGGATACAATAGGGCAGACTTCATCTGCCCTTTCGTTACCATGAAGTGAACGTGCTGTGAGGCTTTGCAGGCATCCCTCCTCGCTCCCTGCCTAAACCCCTGTCTGCGATCACCTGGCCTGGCCCTTGCCAGTGATTCCCAGCAAGTGCTGGACTACTGCCCTCTTGCAGGGGAAATTGTATTCAGTTCTCCCAAGGGCAGCCCAACCCCTAAAACACTAGGGAAGGAGCCAGGCTTTGTGAGAAAGGGCCTTTCAAATCAGTCATGTGAGCAAAGAGCTGGGAATCGGAATAGCGAAGGTCTCTTCCAAACGATGCCGCTAACTTCCCGCTCCAGGTACCAAGTAGCTTTGCCTTCACGTCCTGCTACCTGGGAAACAGCAGATAGTGTTTATCTTGGCAAACCCCACTCAGCCAAGGATTTGAAAGCGCAGCATTGCAGTTTTGAGTAGAGTTGCTGCTGGAATGCTTCCCCTGGCCGTCTTTTTTGAGTCTTGGGAGAAGTTGGATCAATCCTCATTTGAACCATTTTTATTTAGAGAACTCTCTCCTGACTCTCCCTCACTGTGCAAGACTGCGCCAGGAAACAAAATCTGGAGCCCGGCCATATGCCAGCCAAAGAAGAGGTGCAGCAGAATTTAGAGGACTGCCACTTGCTAACATAGGTCCTAAATAAATTGAAGAGCTCGGCAGGAAAGTCATTATGTATTGGAAAGTTCATTTACAGTCTGTAGACAATTCCTTTCTCTCAGGCTGTAGTAAATCGAATAAGGGTAGCATAGTTGATGGGGATTACACAGAACAGAGGACACTCAGTCCAAAAGCATGCAGAACAGTCATTACTGGTAATTATGATTGGATTATCTAAAATTATGTGATTTCTCCCTTTGAAAGGAAAGAAAAATAAAGCTAGAGAAAACTTGCAGACATACCTGCATATAGGAGTCTTTAAATGCCCTGAGTTTAGCATAGTACTGTCCTTCGGATCTATTTTTATGTTTTATTTTAGCATTGCTGTTTGCGACAGTGCTTAAAATGAACATAACTGAAGATGTCAGCTGATATTAAAGGAAAATAAAACAGCCTTTTGTATTTTAACCCAAATACAAGACGCAAGTTAAACTAATTCTTAAAGACATCTGCCTTTGGTGCCACATCAGCGATTCTGACGTTCCCCAGACTTCAGAGATATGCCAATTTTCTCAGTTTGTATATAGGACTGATGACTTGTTTTATGCTGAACACCTTTGCTAATGTGCCTTAGTTTCTAGTGAAACAAATAATTCTGAAAACTGCAAAAAAGAAATGCCAAAAGAACTGTCAAATGCCTAAGGAAAACAGACTGAAAGAAAAAATTATCTCAATGTAAGAGGAAATCTTTTGTTGCTCTTAACTACAGACCTAATCCAAAACCTGCTGAGATCAGGTTTCCCTTGTAAACAACAGTCCCATATTAATCCGTATGGTTACTGAGGAAATTACCCAGCCCATAATCCAAACTTGGAGGTAAGATCTGATCCAACAGATACTAATGGGAATTGGAGCAGATTACATTCAGGGAGAGAGGGAGTCACTAAAGTCTCTCTAAAATAACCACCAGAAGGTAGAGAAACATATGCATAATCTCAGAAGATGATGTGAACATCAGGATATACCATTAAAAAAGATGCGCAGTCACAAACTGATCTAAAAATACAGTCCATTACTATAGGCAAGGTAATTGTTGAGGTACTTACTGAGGTAGCAGTACTTTGTGATGTGCTGCTTTTCCCTTCCTCCCCTGCCCTTCCCATCACGATCACGCATTCTTGCCCTGGCTGCAGCTGCCGTTCGCATGGCCGAGCAGTCTCTGGGAGGTGGCTGATGCAAACAGCTTGCTGCAAATAAAGAGTAAACTACGGCAGCTTAAGGCTCCAGCTTTCCATAGCAAGCGTAGCTTGGCGCTGTTAGTAGATCGTATTTTGAGATGTAAGGCCCTGGGCCCAGCTGCTTTGCTGTTCATTTAAATAAGCTAAGTAATACTCCTCTTTCAGATCTATCTACAACTTGGTGCAAAGTTGTGTTGCTGTGTGTTAGTGTTGTCTGTAACGGAAGTAAATTAAGAAACAGGTTGCTCTTCTCAGGATGCTCTGGCATGTGCAGAGCTACTGCAGAGCCTGGGGACGCTACTGTCAGCGCATAAAACAGACCCCGTCATTGCTGGCCATAGTGCCTGTATCGTCCAAAACCTGAGTCTTTCCAAAAACAGGCAGGTAAGTACCCATTTTTTTCACTGAAATATGCATTGGGAGGTTGCAGTTACATTTATATCAAATCAGCATTAATCACAAAAAGAATTGTTTTGATTTTTTTAATGATATGCCAAGGATTAATATTCTACACAAAACTGTGTGTGAATAACACTACCTGAGGTGTCATAGCAGAAGTTTTTTTTCTGTATTTTTTCAGTACAATATAAAAATGGTAGTGAAAATAAGAAATATTTTGTTTTTCTTATGAGCCAGGGAGGTGGTCACCTAATCTGAGTGGCTGTATCATAAGCATAAAACACATTTCTAGCAAAGCGATTTCAAACCAATTAAAGAAAGTGTCCAGGAAAATCTGAGGTTGGTTAGAAACTGAACCCTTATTTCCTGACTCTCACTCTTTGGATGTTTTGGCTTACGCATTCATGGCATTCAACACTGAGCTAATTTCACTCCCAATTTGTTATATATAACTCCAACTACCTATGTATATTTTGCCTGTTTGGCAAGATACTACCTGTGCCAAGATGCTATCAACATCTCTATTGCTAACTTGACTTCTAATGAAATTCTTATCCGCAGGTGCATTTCTTTCCTCCTTGCCTTTTAAGGGCACCCAGTTCTCTTAGCCTTCCTTCTCCTTTAGAAAGGAACATGTTTCTATCACCTTGATCAAACAGTGCCACTAGTAGCATAACTGATACAGGTGGGGAAAAAAAAAAAAGAGCCCAAATCCTTATCTCCTCTTTGCCCTTTGCTCCACCTTCTAGTACACATTTCTGGGGGGACTTGCTCCCCTCCCCTGCTTTTTTTTTTGTGCATGATCCAATTGCTGCTAGTTTCAGAGACTACTTTTCGGAAGTGTCCAATGTCTGAAACAAGAACTTTTTGACCTCAGTGACCTATCTGATTTCAGACTTGGAAACCTATTTGCCCTTCCTTTTTTGCATCGTTAATTCTCATTTCTGGAGCTCTTTCTCTTTGTTTAGTTCTATCAAGATCAGGTTAAGCTGAAGTAAAACACTGTAGTACAAAATAAATTTTTATTTTGTGGTAGACAAGGACTAGACCTGCATTCTTTTTTGCCTTTCTCCCATGATGTAAGAGCACTCACTGCAACTGAAAGAGATTTAAACAAGCCAAAGACAAAACTTCGCTATGAATCTATGAACCTGACTAATAATGAAGAATGGCAGAGACCTCTCAGCAAGTTTCAAGCAGGGATTAGAAATGTGAATTTTAAATAATGTTTTCTCATTTCTACTAATAAAGACAGGAATTACAAGACTTCTTGATAGCTCTGAAATGAGTTGTTGCAGAGAAGTATATTATTCCCTTGAACTCAAGGCCTGGAGGAAGAGTTAAAAATGGTCCTGGCTTTCAAAGTCTGCTTTTGCAAAATGGACATATTTATCACTCAAATTCTAAGCCTTTATTCTGTTATTAGCAGGAAGCTGCTTCAACTTCAGAAAAGCTTTATAATATACCTTGTCATGTATTTATCTCTCACTGCACAAATAAATCCATGGACACGAATGGGAGTGCCAGGTTTCCAGGGTCCAGTCTAAGGAACCGACCCCAGAATGCATATGAGTCCTTGTCACAAGAAGAAAACATTTTTTCTTTTTATACCAGCAGGATATAAACAGACTGTGGCAGCTTGAAAGTCAGCAGTCTTGAATCCAGCTTCAATCTCTAAGTAGGAAATTAGAAAGATTGCAACATAAAATAAGTGTAAAAGAAATAAGTATTCCTTTTTGGTTTTTGATAGCCATCTGAGCTCCCTTATGGAGCTGCAAGCTCCCAGGGAGCTGACAATTTGGAGAATTCAACTTCCCCTGTAAACAGTCACCTACTATTGTAAAAAAGGATTTGTTCCTGGATTTCATGTACCTCTAAAACAGGTCAGCATAGATTAAGTCTCCTTGCTATTTTCACCTTAGTCTCTAAAATATATACTCCTGTGCAGAGACATGCTGTCCAACACCATTTTTGGTGTAGCAGATTCTACCTGAAAGGTAAAGGATACACAGAAATATTTAATTCATAATAATTCTCTCCAGCAACAAGAGTCACCTTTCCTAGTGAAAGGTCATTGTATATTTCTGCGAATGAATCACAGTGTTTCAATGCCAGAAAGTTTTCAGAGCCCTGGAGGCAAATATGAAACGACCAATAAACTTCTGCATTTCCCAACCCTTTGCCCTGAAGTATTCAGGTTATTCATCTCTGCATCAAGACTTTAGCAAGTAACAGCCTCGTCCTAACATACAACCTGACACAATGGCTCTAGGTTAGGAAATTCTTTGAGCTCTAAAAATGGCCTGAGATCACGAGAACATCCTACAGATAGGGCAAGTGCTGAGAAATGCCTAACATCAGGTGATCTCTTAATAATCTAAAGTGTTTGACATCTGGTTGTACTAGGTCTAGGAGGAGATATTTATTTTATTGATTTCGTAGTCCTCCGTACTGCTACGGTTTATTTACTACTTTGGAAGTCCTTGGAAACCACCAAAAACGCATGGAAGCGCTCTTTCTTTGCAGAGAATTGTTGAGAGCTCATGTGTCGAAGGTCTCCTCCAGACCATGCTTTCTACTGACATTCGAGAAGACTCTCTTCATTACGTGACGTCTTGCCTTGCTGAGCTGGCAAAGCAAGGTAGGGAAGCAACCTTAGTGCAAACGGCTTAATCTGAGAAGTGCACACGTCTTTTATTAATCCTGATAGATGATTGGAGACATACATCCCAGGTCTTTCCCTTTAAACTCTCGGGAGTTTTGCTGTAAGCATCAATGAGAGCAAGATCCCCATAAGCTCCACTGTTTGCACTCTTCACCGTTGAGCTGGTTAAACTCTCTTGCTCAAAATTCTTTGTGCCCAACCTTAATGCTGTACCTGCTCTGCCTACTTTTATTTGTAACATTGCTCATTTTCACTGTGAAATGAATCCAGCAGTTAGCAGGAACTAATTTAAGAAGAAGAAAGGGCTAAAACACAATGGGGCTTTTTCTCCTTAAATGTATTGCCTTAGAAAAAGAAAGAAAGAAAGAAAGAAAATCCCGCGTTACCAGCCATGGAAAGTACAGCTCTCCTCATGGCACAGAAAGGATCAGTGTAAATTTTCCCATCCTGCCATAGAGTTGGATATCGTCTGTCAAGCATTTCCTCTCTGTAGCTGCCACTGCAACTGGTGACAAGCTGCATTTAATTTTGTGAGAGGTGTCCAGCTGGGCAGATTGAGCCCACTATGCCAGAGCAGCTCTTGTACATAAGGTGATTCAGCCTGTCAGGAGACACAACCCATAGGATAAAAATCCACTGGCCTTTCTATGCCTTGAATCCATGGACCTACCTTGTTGAGAGCATAACCCCAAGACATGACCAGTTTCTACCACCCAAAATTCTTACTGCAGAAGTTCAGCACTTATTTTGCTTCTCCAACTGTGCAAAGGGTTTGCTATGCAGGCAGTTAGGGTTCTGGCAAACCTCTTTCCTGCATTGCTAGGGCACTGGAGCTTCTATTTACAGACTACCCTTCTGTCTTTTATACTTTCCAGAAGGAGCCACGTTACACATGGTTCAGTGGATGGATGAGCCCTTGACAAAGTGCTTGGTGAGACTGGCTGGCCAACTGGAACATACTGAGCCATCCTTTCAAGCTGGCTCCATCATCCAGCACATGCTAGGTCACGGTAATTGTCACACAGCATTAACTGTGCTTTCAGAGAGGTTTACAGCTGTCTGAAGTGAAACGAGCCTTCTTCCAAAGGAGTTAACTGTCAGGCCCTATGTAACATTCAAGATTTCTAAAGCATCCTCCATGTGCTCTCAATGAATTTAATAACATTTTTTAAAAAAAGCCTCCCAATTGCCTTTGAAATGCATAAGTAAGCAGTACTTGAATGCATGAGAAAGCCAAGAGTTGAAAACAGACCATAAGATATTAAGGTCTGATGCAGGTGTTTGTTACTATGTTCAAGCACTATGCATTCTGCAGCGCTATTCTGTAGCCGTTGTGAGGTCCTAAAAAGCACGTTAAGTGGGAAGGTGGGATAATGTAAAATATTCCTTACCTTTCTTCCTACCGAGGAAAAGATGAGGAGGTTTCAGACAAGCAGCATTGTTACACCTTTCCGCTTGACACCCCTCACCAAATCTATCACTATATGCAATATGATGGCATTCCCCACAGATGGGAGCAGAGGTTGAAAATCCTAAAGACAATAACAAGGGGATGGTCGTGTCCTAGAATTTTAGATCAATTCCACTCACCAACAGCAAGAGGAAAGCATCTTACTGAACCGAATATCACTGTTTTAATTCTCAAATAGTTTAGCTGGAGCAGTAAGGTAAAGTAGCCTTTATGAGCTTAGCCTGCAATTTTTAGATTTTCGTGAGAGAGAATGAAAAGAGCAGCAGATAAGAAATAACTTTATGCCTGATATACCTGCTCTACGCAGCTGAGCACCTCTCAGACTTGCAAGAAGGTGTCCAGACGATTCCTGCCACCTTCTCTAGAAGCACACTGTTAAATTTTAATCCTTCAAGGTAAGAGAAGCGGAAGCCTGGAGTAAGAGACTCTAATAGGGGAAACACAAACCTGTTTCAATCCTAGCCTCAAGCGTTTGTTACAGAGCAGACTTCTAAGAGGCGAAGAGAGGCCAACAGCACGATCACTTCACAGCTGGGTTAGCGAGAAAGGCTGATCTGTTCATAAGTCAGCATGTCCCTCACACAAGGATCAACTTCCTAGCACAACAGCCTGCTCAGCAGAAACCCTGCGTATCATTTACCTGAAGCATCTAGGACACGGTTAAAGGTTGTAACACATGCAAGTGCTTTACCGTTCTTTGCAGTGACACTAACTGTAGCTGAAGGTAGCTGAGTCTTAAGCATTGCTACAAAAGCCAGTTTTAGAAGTGTTTTAAGGGTTCCTACTTACCGTCAATGCAATACTTATCCCATTTATGCAGAAAAGATGATGCTTTTGTTGAAATGTCACATCAAAGAGACTCAGGCCTACCTCAAGAATTTCCTCACCCACCAAGAGATTCGCTTTCAACAGCTGGGCATTTCTACGTTCTGCAGATTGCAAGAAGGTACGTTCCGCGGCAGAACTCCCTGCTGGGCACAGCCATGGGCTACTTGCTCACATCAGCAGCAAACACGCACCGTGTTATAACAGGATTTCCCCTGCACTACCCTGCAATGGCAATGCTGGGTGGCTTCCTTCTGCTACCGAGGCAAACAGAATAGCAGAACAGACTCCAAGGCTAGCCCATATCTTAGCTGCTTTAAAATAACCAAAAGCATTTTAAGATAAAGGCAATCCACTATTTTTTAAATTAAAGTCTTTCTGATCAGCAGAAAACTGGACTCAGAAGTCCAAAAAGCTTTTCAAATATGAAATTTTAATTTTTTTGATAGAGCAAGCAAACATGAGCAGATTGCATTGATGGCAGGCATTACTGACAAACAGCATTTCCATGGCCTTGCTAGGTCTTAGAGAGGAGATAAAATGTACAAAGATGACACATCAGTAACCTTCTGGTTTTTCACTCATTAAAAATAAATTCATTGTGAGAGAATAAATAACTGCTTGTCCTCTTCACCATTTTGCTGTTTAAAACTATTCAAGGTTGACAGGCCTAAAATAGTCATCAGCAATGCACCTTGTTCCATAATGTCCTCCTAAGCATAGAATAATTTCCTTCATCTCCAAAATCAGCGAATCTTATGTTGAAATTAACATTTTATAGCATGTATTTTTCTGAGAACATCAGTATTCTTTCCACAAGCATTCAGTCATGCATACTCTGCAACTTTTTGGCCTTAATCTTGCAGTTAAGGCAAAACAAAGCTGGAAAATCTCACATTTTTGGCATATTTTTAATTCTGTTCCTTAACATTTCCTAGTTTTGAATAGGGTTTTTTTTGTTTTGATGTGGAAATTGAGTACAGATGACATACATACTATATAGACTTATTCATGTCTTACATCTTCACATACACAGAGCTAAGCCCCTGCTACATCTTTGTATGTACCTGTTGTACAGGAACAAGACATAAGGCTGAGATGGCCAAATGAGCTTTAGACCCCAGGATGTAGGAATGAAAGTGGGATTAATATCTAATATCTGCTCTCCTTTGTGTGGCAGAGGAATATTGATTTACCTTGTGTCTATTTTACATTTTAACAAGAGCCACCAAATCTATCTAACCTAAAATTCAAGCATTCTAAGCATTTGCAGAAAATACTGGGAAAACATTTGGAGAGGGCGATTACTACAGGTTCACGATCCTAACATTTGTTTTTTCTCTTCAGATCCAGAGTTTTCTTTAGCATTCAGGAAAAACCAAATGACCAAACTCCTTGAACAGGTCCGTCAACAAACAGAAGAAACTCAAGAGCTCCTTAGGGCAGCTATTTGCCAAGCAGACAGTTAATATTTAAGCCAGATGGTTTACAAAAACCTAGCAGATCCAAGATCCTTAACCTTCAGAGGAGACAATTCTTTCCATTGGCTTTCG